TCCAGGGCTCAGGGCTATTAAGATAGTGGTCATAATGTTATGCCAACTTGATGAAAATGTGCAAAGACTTAATCAGTGTGTCTGATAAGCAAAGTCTATCTGCAGCATAAAGAATAGACTTATTTTTACACACAGGTCTCCTTCTTTTTTTTTTTTTTTTTTTTTTTTTTGCTTGGTCTGATTAATAATTAATATCTCAAGACCTGGTAAGGACCTGTTAAAATACTTAAAACAGAAACTGTGGTGAATGGTGTACTTTGAGTGAGCTCCTTCCAACTGATAATAAAATACTGTTAATAAAGTGTGATGCTAGACTTCACACATTTTATGTGAACAGTTCCCTGCCTGCCTGCAGCCATCAAACATCACGTAAGAAGCGCTTTATGACATTTTACGCCTAAAAAACAATGTGCTGCTTTATTCGGTGTGTGTGCAATGAGCATGCGCCAGCTTCGTAAGACTAAATGACAACTTTTAACACTTATGTCTGTCACATTCCTACTGAAGTTTCCCTCAAAAAGACGCACTATGGTGCTCTACAATACCCACTGTAAAAGTTGTATTTTTTGTTAAATTGGGAAAATATGTTGGAATTGGTCGTACTGTATAAGTACAATGAGCCTGTTTTATTTTGAATAGTTTTTTTTGTGTGTTTTCCACAGAGAGCTGACAGCAGCATAACGGACTGTGTTAGTTATTCCATCACTTCTTTCCCTTACCGCCCACTCCCCACCACACAACTGTTCCGTGGGTTTCTTTTTTTAGAAATTAGCACCCTCGGTTTCTTTAAAGAAAAAAAAAACCGCTCCCCTACCTGGACATAATTGCTTTCGCAGTATTCCGCTACTCTTTCCAGATTGGTAAAACTGTCCAGTAACGCTCTCCGTCCCGCAGGAATTTCCTCCTCCAGCAGCATCTGTAGCTCCGCCATCTTTACATAGTCCTTACTACTAACGGCTGCGGCTCGCGCTGACTGGATGCATCCTGCTGCATTCCAGGGCTGTGGGAACTTTCACAACTACGACGAGATACCTTGGAAATGTTGGGGAAATGTATTATAAGGGCCATTTTTTGCCCGTGAAATTACTTCTTTCGACCCTTTACCATGAGACAAGAATGGTAAAATAAATAAATAAATAAATAAACTGTAAATTGTATGTTTATTTCTTTTAGTAAGGTGGCAACAGTCCAAATCCTTTTTAATGTGTTGGATCTTTAATGACGTGCAAATGTAATAGTTTTGGCCCCCTGACGAACCTTTGGGTGGGTATGAATGTGTGCATTACGGTTGTTTTTTTTATTACGAAATTTACGGCTGTAATCACAGATAATTTGTAGAATATATTAAATCATAAACAACCAGCACAAAACTTCTGTTTGTCTTAAGTTGTGTGGGTTTTGCATTTTGGACACTTAAAAACAAAATCCTGAAGAACTACATCTTGTCTACTTTGATATCAATACAGAATGTGAGATATTATTCCATCACTTCTAATTTTCATTGATTTAGGTACAGTCTAAAAGCACAGGTTAAACATATCTTGACTATTTTGCAGACGTGCAAATTAGTGTGCTGTTTTTTCTTTGAATTAAGAAAATCAAAATATTTTACATGAGACTGTAAAATAGTTTAACTTCAAAACTGTTTGGTTCAGATTCCCCTGCAGTCAAACATTCTCAATCCACACAGCAGTTACTGTACATAAACACATTTATTTACAAAATAACATTTAGCAAACAAATAATACATATTTACTCGTACAAAATCATACATCATTGTATTTTGAGTCTAGTACACGGGCTGACAGATATTCAACACGTCTGGTTTTAGGCAGGGATGTCCAGGTTTTCATCTCCTCTAGGGAAACCCTCCACCTCCATCGTCATCAAAAATTCTGCTCACACACAAAAAAAGCAAAATCTTTTTGAGTATTGGGTTCATTGCGACCAAGCCGTATAGTGTATATAATAATAACTGTAGTGCCATCTAGTGGTAGAACGACAAACACCACGATGATGAGCAATTATGATGTACTAAAAGGATGACAGGAAAAAATCTCTTTGTAATCTAGCAGCATACATTGCAAGGGGGCTTCATTTTATCCGTTTTTTTTTAAATATTAATATTATTTCAATATCAAAATAAGACCAGCTCTTAAGAAATGTATGTAATAGAGAAAAAAATGCAATTAATAAGAAAGTATTTCCTAACAGATTTTTATTCTGGATCTTATCCAGGCTTACCTTCTGTGTAGTCGATGTCTGGCCGCGTGGACACAACAGCCCATGCCACGCCCACCAACAGCGCCACCACCAGGTTGACCACGATCCACGGCCGCAAGATCTGCTGCTCGGAGCCTTGAGGCCTGCAAGTAAAAAAACATTAAAAATCAAGTCTAATTCAGTTCCTGAATGAAGACAACTGATGGGAGACAATCTTTTATAAATATTTTTTAAAAGGTACGTTGCATTTAGTTTGGATCTTAAGGACCGAGTCGCCCAAGATGGACATCCACCAGAGGACGGACAAACAGACTGCATATTAATAAATCATTAAACAAATTTATGAAATATGCCTCTTAGATATTGACACCGCAGTTGAGGTAGCTGTATATAACGCAGTGCTGAAACTAAGAGGCTTCACCTAATGACAAGTGCTTGGGTGTAAAAACCAGTCAGTTGTTCTACACTTTGCTTCATATGGATTGTCACAACCCTTGGCTATTGAGAAATGGCGTAGACTCTGTTGAAGTTTGGTCTGATTTTAGCCAATCGCTAATGTTTGCGCCTTCTCAAACGTGAACGGTGCTACGCTATGAAGCTACGGAGAGCTGTAAAAAGAAAAATGTCCACCGTGAAGATAGAAGTGCTGAGTCAAGCTAGGTGGTTTGTTACGGAGAGGGGCCATGACATCTTTGCCAGTAGTAATATGTACTAAACTTTCCTCTTGCTCCAACTTGAATTGCTCAGTATTTGGAAGCGTGGTCAACACAGACTTCGTTCGATTAATCACTTCTTCCGCTGCCATTGCTAAACTACAACTAAAGGAGCTCTGTAATTCTAAATCCTTCTGTTCGCTGATCGGCCCGGATGAAATCCGTCCTGAGAAATCTAGCTCAGCGGGAGCGGAGCTGCATAAGAAGGCGATGGCCAGGCTAGGTTTTATTTAGCATTACTGAAAACCCCTTTTTCAACGTTTACACAGGATTCTGGTAGGTTTGCAAAAACTCACATTCTGAACCACACCCATTGGTCACTTTAGTAGGTAACAACTGTTCAATTTATCATCACAAAAAGCATTACAATAGTCTTTTTTCTTTTAGATTATTTTCAAAAGCGCTGAAGTCGAATGAAAAACAATAACGGATCTCACCACAGAGTCTCATTGGCCGTAGGATAAAGGTTGATGCGGTCGCTGGTCATCTGCTGGCTGAGGGACAGTATCAGGGCTATGAAATATACTGGATACACACAGAGACGGCATGAAAACATTGTCATCATCTCCACTGTCGTCGTAATCGTCATCAGACATTCGTCAAGGTCTTACAGAAGGAAGCCACGGCCACCGGGTCCAGAGTGAGGAAGCCTCTCAGGGCCATGGACGTCTTGGCCAGGTTGACCCTATGACGATATGCCCAACTTCACATGTTATTCTCAGACAGAAACGTAAATCTCTGAGGTGTTGTTTTTGCCCGCAGAGACCTGTCAAATGCGGACACGGTGCTGATGGCCAGCAGCAGGTAGAGCAGAGACTGAGCCGGGTAGGCCAGAGGGTGGTACTGCTGCAGCAGGTTGTGCAGCGTGGTCATCTGCTCGCCGGCCAGCACGTACACAACGATGATGTTCCACACCGCGTAGCCAGCCAGGAACCCATGAGAGAACAAACCGACCACCCTGCAGGTGGAAGACACACGACCGCATTTATGTGTTTAATTTATAGACCTGCTGTTGCTTCGTGAGCGGCTTGCCTGGATTGATCGTTTCTGGTTTTCCATCCGTACCGGACACCAAGCGGTCTCTTTTCGAGGACAATAGTGTTTTAAATATGAACTTATTGCTACAAAGATATTCTTCAGTGAACTAGTCAGTGGACATGTCTTCCAGAGAGAGGTTCAGTTTCCCTTTTCTACCCCTGAACCCCACTGTAGCTTTGTCATAACAACTGAGCAAACAGCTTGGGATATTTGAAGTGAAAAGGAGCTATCATGCTACATGCTTGTTTTGGCTCACACGTCTCAACGAACCTGAAGCCATTGTGAACCTTCAGAGAGACGTCCCTGGTGGTCCAGATCTGCCTGGGGTCCATGTAGTCCTCAGTCAGCTCCAAGTGCCTGAGCTGCTCCACTCGGTCGGCCTGGAAACGCCCTGCGCACACACAGGTTACCCTCACACACAAAGACTAACACGTTCTGGAGACTTCTGCAGAAACTGCCTTGGAAACGTTGTTGTGCAAAAGTTCTGGGTCAACCCCAAATTCAATTCAAATTCAAAAAATACTTTATTGATCCCAAAGGAAAACTAAACACTGTTGTAACTCATGTTAATTCATATTCTTCAAAGAGTTACTAGTGATGGCTGTTGGCGGGAAAGATCTCAATGGATGTAAACCAGTCGTTTGAAATAAGAAAAATGTCTGACTTTTTCAATGAAAAATTGAAAGAGGAACTCCAACACCTTTCACATATCAGATTCCCACTCACGGTTCCTCTCCACAAAAACTTTGCCGACCGGCTGGCTGTGTCCGTGCGGGGCGGAGAACAGGGAATGCTGCGGGATGGGAGACTGAGCGTCGGTGATGATGTCTTCGTCTTCGGCTTCCAGATCGTTGCTGTAGTGCTCTGTTGCCTTCGCCTTCCTGTCACGGGAGAAAGCAAAGAGGAGTTTGAAGGAAAAAATAACCAGAAACCAGCAAACTATAAATAACCGTAGAAAAGTGTGAAGACAAGCGAATCAGTTCCAGCTCAGAAAGACGAACTGCGAAACATAAACGTTACGATGATGGATGAAGGCCACTGTAGATAGAAAATCACAAAAGGAGTAAATTTACACCAAAATACTCAGAAATGTTGCGATCAATTCTGAAATTTCTTAGAAACATCTTGGAAATTTCTGGAAAGTTGAAAATTTGCACACAAAAAAACCCCTCATATTTTACGATTAATCTCAGAAATTTTCTAGAAAAATACTGGGAAACTTCTTGTTTTTAAAAGTAAAAACTTTTTGACTTAGGAAATTTCTGAGTTTCAAAATTCAAAATCTTTCTAGAGGATACTTACAAATTTCTTATTTTCAAAAGTCAAACATTTTTGACTTTTGAAACAGACAGATAATTTACGAAATTATTCTAAAAATTAATGAGTTTTTTGGTGAAAATCTACTTTTTTTTCAGTCTACAACGGCCATAATATACGCCGTTGTAAAATGTTGAAAACTCTTTCAACATTTTATTATTTGAATCAGATTCGACATTAAAATTAATTTTTTTTTTAAATTATTGATAAACAATAACCGAAAATGATGTTTTCCACCAAAACAACCAACTGTTTGATTTACATTTTTGACATTGCTTTGGGTAAAAGTCAGCTCATAGTTGCTTCATATGAGTCCATCAGAGTCTCGTTTAACTTCTAATCAACGCATTTCTTAGTTAATCTTTACTGTATTTATAATTGAAGCTGCTAAGTTGTTCTCACTTCTACATTCACTGGTTGTTTTTAATCAGTAACTCTTGAACTTCCTCTGCTGCCATCAGATCAGTCTGATGTTTTAAATCCTGCTGCAGTTACTGGTACTTACTTCTTCCTTTTTGTCTTCCTGGTGACGGCGACAGTCATCTCCTCTCCTTCCCCGTCCGCCTCGGCCGTGTTGCCGTTTGGTACATCCCCGTGTTCTGTTTCCTGATCTGTCCGAGCGACACACAGCCACACACTCTCTGTGACAGGCACTCTGCTCAGTTCATCGCGCCTTG